ATTAAACAGATAACTCAGGGGCGGGGGGATTAGATGACTGAGGCTCCTCGGGGCTCTGAGGGTTTGCAAATCCAGCTGGGTGGCCATCCCCCAGTAGCGTGAGACTGTTTTCATGGAAAACAGGAAGTCCTCCTAGTCAGGGGCACCTGTTTGCGCTCCTGGCAAAGGTGTGTTGAAGAATATCAGCTTGGCACCTGGCCTGGTGGGTCTCCCCTTTGGTGGCTGCTTTAAAAACCCTGTTCTCAACCCTTTCAGGGCAGCAAACCTGCTGTACTGCGGTTATTGACATACTTAACCTGGAGCAACTCGAGAGCAGGCACTGTTACCATCTTGGTTTCCTAGTTTAGCACCAGGTACATGGTAGATGTTCAATAAGTAGAGTGTTTGCTCAGTTATCTTGGTTAAGAAGGCACAGGAACATCTCTCCTAAAATATCTCAGGACGCCCTAACCGGTTTGGCTTAGTGGATAGAGCGTCGGCCTGTAGACTGAAAGGTCCCGGGTTCGATTCCGGCCAAGGGCATGTACCTTGGTTGCGGGCACGTCCCCTGTGGGGGGTGTGCAGGAGGCAGCTGATAGATGTTTCTCTCTCATCGATATTTCTAACTCTCCGTCCCTCTCCTTTCCTCTCTGTGAAAAATCAATAAAATATATATTAAAAAAAATATCTCAGGAGCCATGTAGGTGACAGCAAACTCATTGCATTTATGCACACATTGATCAATTGATTTATCTTCAGTCAACACACATGTATAGAGTTCCTACTAAGTGGCCTCTAATGCCTTCTTCAGGCCTTAGCACCCTCAGATGAGGTGCCCCCCAAATCACTCCCACTTTTTTCTATCCTGGTTGGTATCGCACAGACTGTTTTTTGTTTTTTCCACTTCATTTGCATCTCCTACCCCCATACTGGACTGGAAATTTCCACAGGATGATTCCCTGGTGTCTCGCATGGTACCTGGTACACATCCCAGTATCAAATATCAGTGTTGGCTAGTAGTAGACAAATACATGAACGTACACATAAAGGTAATGAGTGTTTTTTCAGTTGACGTGTTTTCACAGGGGATAGATACCCATCTGACAGAGGTCTTTGAGGAAAGGTGTTCCTTTGGGCATCATACAAACCAACCACGTTGCAACGGCCGATTTACGTAGCTCATGTCCCCATTCAATGGTGAGCCCCTTGAGAAGAGGAACCAAGTTCTATTTGTCTTTGAAATCCTACATGAGGAGCATACACCCAATATTTGAAAAGCTTACAAAAAGTTTATTTTCTGAGAGTGGACTGTTTACAGAACGCTAATGCTGAATTCTTGAATCATTCACTTGCTTTGCCAGGCCACTCCGAATACCTTGGTAAATATTAGCTAATATACAGCCCTTTGCTTGCTATTAAGATTTACTGATTTCAATAGAAAGTAACCTAAAAACTGTGGGTGTTACATAACCCAGACACCAGGGCCAATCTCGAATCAACCAATAGTTTAAAAAAATACATATTGGCTTTGTCTGTGGTTGGATTAAATGCCACGGTCTAAGCAAAGTTGGATGTGTGCTGTGTACATTGGGGGTCTGCCGTGTGAATGATGGCTTTGGTCAGAGGATGAATTTATCCTGTAGTCTTGCTTTCTCTAGGTATAATTCTTCTCACTCTCTGAATAAATAAATCAACAGTATATGTGAAAAGTACCTTTCATAAAGGCCAGATTTTATTTTTAAAAAATCCAACAATAAAGGCTGCTTATAAATCTCACTTTCTTACGTAACAGGGACTGTTGTACAGAGAGATTAACATGGTATCTTGTTGCTTCCTGGTGTGATCTTACTTTCATCTTACAAATATGTACTTACCTGTGTCTATGTTTTCACCTGTGTCTTTGTGAACACCTGGACGTCTCACCATCTCAGGGTGTCCAGAGCAGAGTCTGGGAGATTGAGGAGAACTAATTGTTTCTGGTGAAAGTTCTTGGGCACGGCCTGGGCGACACAGCAGGGGAGCCACCGAGCGTGGCAAGGAGAGGAGAGAAATGTCGGAACACAGCATGCCTGCTGCCCAGGGACCTCAGCCGGCGGCTTGTCATGTCTTAGCATGACAAGCCATGCGAGGTTTCTAAAGATAAAATACATACCCAGGCTGGGGCTTGGTCTGAGAACAAACAATTGCCTTGGTTATACCACACAAGTCCACTATCCAATGAAGTGTTTTCAAGCTAGTACAAATTAGCATCAGTCCACTGACCAAAGACTAAACTGTATTAAGCTGGGTCTAAAACAAATCAGCCTGCATCCAGAGGCCAGCTCCCAACACCGCTCCCTTGCCTTGCCCAGCCATGGATGCTTCAGGTCAGAATACGTTTAGGATGAAGGTAAGTGCAAACCGTCTGGGGAAAGCATCGCAAGCCGGTTGCTGTTGTCTCAACTCTTTGCAAGGCCAGGTGGATGATATTTTATTAGCAATAGAGGCATGGAAACCCAAACTTATCCAAGAGATAAGTCAGGGGGTACTTATTCACTCTACAGAAATATTCTTTATCACCCAAAGTGAAATGAGCCTGTCCTCAAAATTTCAAATCGCCACAGCTGTGGTTGTCTCTTCACCACTTCTAGTTGGTGTTGGCTTCTTGCGTTTTCACCTGCTCTAAGACCACGGATTTAAGAGAGACTGGAAAAGGGTCGTGGGGAGAAAACCCAGACGTTGGTGTGTTAGGAGCCATCTCTGGATTGATAATGTATGACAAGGAGAATGTGGATTCAATTGATATATGTTGGCTTTAGAATTTAGTATCTTGTGTAAGGGCCACTCTACGAAGAGCTGTTGACACACTATGCGCGTCCGTGAACCTGAGAAAGGGAGAAAGTCCCAGTGAATGTAAGCAAGGTTAAAGATTGTGTGTGCAGAGAAAGGGGAGAGAGTGGGAAAGACTACGTCTTCCTCCATGAGTTGAATTTGGGACCATCACCTAATATTCTTGGGGACTTGAGGTCAGTGAGGGCTGGGTGGGATGAGGGCAGGCACTGCTGTTTGCTCTCCTGGTAGCATTTTTTTTTAAAAAAATCTCTTTAGAACCTGTCCTCAAAATTTCAAATCACCACAGCTGTGGTTTTCTCTTCACCGCTTCTACTTGGTTGTTGGCTTCTTGTGTTTTCACCTGGTCTAAGACCATGAGCAAGAAACTGTGGAATATCAGTTTTGTTTAAAATGTATCACTAAGTTGGTTTCGCTTCCTAGTTTGTATGAATAAACGCATTTTTGAAGGGGGTTTTGAAATCTATTTTAGAAACAGATTTGCATTTAATTCAAAATATCACGAAGACATGGCTCACCGTGGTGAACGAGCTTAGAGTGGCGGTAGGCACGCCTAAGGGAGGAGGTAGTCGTGTGTTTATGTCCCCAGGTGTCATCATTGTTGGCTGTTGAGGGGGAAATCCCTTCATTCTTTTGCTATACAATGGAAGTCAAAATAATGCCATCGATAAGAAACCATTGATCAGATAGCATTTGGAGAGCTTAATTCATTCACTGACTTATTTCATTTATCTTTTTTAAAATATATTTTATTGATTTCTTACAGAGAGGAAGGGAGAGAAATAGAGAGTCAGAAACATCGATGAGAGAGAAACATCAATCAGCTGCCTCCCGCACACCCCCTACTGGGGATGTGCCTGCAACCAAGGTACATGCCCTTGACTGGAATCGAACCTGGGACCCTTCAGTCCGCAGGCCGACGCTCTATCCACTGAGCCAAACCAGTCAGGGACATTTATGTTTTTATACTAAATAACTAAGACATAGACTGTGCCAGCAGCTGGGAAAGAGTGAGGAAAACATGATTCTACCCTCACAGAGTATTAGAATTTAAGTCAGAGCTCCCAGCCCTTTAGCTTGGGAGCAAGGAAGGATGTGTGAGATATTGCTGGTGACCACCGTACTACTTTTGGGGGGATGTTGGCATGCCACAAAGAGAGAGTAGAAACACAAAGGGAAGCTTGCAGATGCACTGAGAAAACTTCTGCCATTAAAACAAAAAGGAAGTTGATTAATACTTGTCTGAAAACGTCTCAGGGAAATTTAACTTTAGAAAAGAAAATTTCATAACCGAGAGGCAGTGGGGTAGAGGCTCTTCTGGACTGACCAGCAGGGACCCTCATGCTCTCGGTGTCCTCCTGCTGCTTTGTTAGGTACATGCCTGGATGGGTCATTGGGATTATCTGAGTCTCAGTTCCTTCATTTAATAAATGAGAGGACTGAATCGAATCAGGATTTCTCTCGATATGTATATGCCTCTAGCAGTACACAAGATGGCTTAGGTAGTATATTTATGAGCGGTTTTTTTCATAGTTACTTATTTTTATATATTACAAAAAATGTAAATAGTGCATCAAGCTTCTGCTTTCACAGATATTTTTTGCTTAATATAAAGCTAAATTAATTTTTAATATATATATTTTATTGTTGATAGTATTACAGACATCTTCCATTCCCCCCCTCCTTTATCCCTCTTCTCCCAACCCTTATTCACTGTCCCGCTCATGTCTTCACTACCCTATCGCATACTATGTCCATGGGCTATGCATATAAGTATATCATTTCTTTGGTTTATCTCTTCTCATCCTCCCAACCTAACTTTATATTTTTAAAGGAGAGCTCATTTAAAGAATAATATAAAAATATCATAGTACAGGTCATGATGGTGATCACAAACATTTTTCAAGGTTGTGTGCGATTAAGGTCAGGAACCCTCTTAGATTCCTTCCAATTCTATCTCATCGGATTAATTTTCCTCTTTATATTTAAGCAATATGGCCTTCTGGTGGAAAATTTCTATTGAAAGTAGCATTGTGGCATCCAGAATAAACTTGTCAGCTTGCCAAATGGTCAGTAATCCAGATTGTTTGGAATGTCTTTTCATAAACAGGTAGCTCTTTATGTGCGTCACCTACGTCATTGCTGTTCTAAATACAATTTTTTTGTTTTGTTTTTCTTTGATGTGTTCTCAGATCAAGGTGTTGACAGAAAGAATGTTCAAACATCTTCGGAAATGGTTTGTCACTCGCTTTCTGGGGCATCCTCGGCGAAGAACAAGGCTGGTTTCCAAAGATGGAAGGTGCAACATAGAGTTTGGCAATGTGGAGGCGCAGACGAGGTTTATATTCTTTGTGGACATTTGGACGACGGTGCTTGACCTCAAATGGAGATACAAGATGACCATCTTCATCACAGCCTTCTTGGGGAGCTGGTTCCTCTTTGGCCTCCTGTGGTACGCGGTCGCCTACATTCACAAAGATCTCCCCGAGTTCCATCCACCGGACAACCACACCCCTTGCGTGGACAACATTAATGGTCTGACCTCAGCTTTTCTGTTTTCTCTGGAAACACAAGTGACTATTGGCTATGGATTCAGGTGTGTGACCGAACAGTGCGGCACCGCCATCTTCCTGCTCATCTTCCAGTCTATCCTTGGAGTCATCATCAACTCCTTCATGTGTGGCGCCATCTTAGCCAAGATCTCCAGGCCCAAAAAGCGGGCGAAGACCATTACCTTCAGCAAGAATGCCGTGATCAGTAAGCGGGGAGGGAAGCTGTGCCTCCTCATCCGTGTGGCCAACCTCCGGAAGAGCCTCCTCATTGGCAGTCACATCTATGGGAAGCTTCTCAAGACCACAGTCACTCCTGAGGGAGAGACCATTATTTTGGATCAGACCAATATCAACTTCATCGTTGATGCTGGGAATGAAAATTTATTCTTCATCTCCCCACTGACCATTTACCACATCATTGATCACAACAGCCCCTTCTTCGACATGGCGGCAGAGACGCTTCTCCAGCAGGACTTCGAGTTAGTGGTGTTTTTAGATGGCACCGTGGAGTCGACCAGCGCGACCTGCCAAGTGCGGACATCCTACGTCCCAGAAGAGGTGCTCTGGGGCTACCGTTTTGCTCCCATCGTGTCCAAGACCAAGGAAGGGAAATACCGCGTGGATTTCCACAACTTTAGCAAGACGGTGGAAGTGGATACCCCTCACTGTGCCATGTGCCTTTATAATGAGAGAGACGCGAGAGCCAAGATGAAGAGAGGCTATGACAACCCCAACTTCACTTTGTCAGAAGTCAACGAGACAGATGACACTAAAATGTAGCAGTGGCTTTTCGACACAAGTAAAGCCAAGTTTCGAACACACATAGTGACTAGCGGCATGATGAAGCAATCAACCATTTGGGAGTATGAAACAGACAAAAGCCTTCCAAGTCCACCAGCACAATGCCCCTGAACTCTATAACCGTGATTCTACAAGACTCTACAAGGCTAGTGCAGTAGAACATGCATTGTATTTGTAGGAAGCTGGAATATAGAAATCATGGGAGCTCACTTGAATATGATTATTTAAAATCATGCAATGTTAATAGAAACAGACAAAAGTCATCAAAAGTCTCATGAGATCAAAAGTGGTCTTTTTAAAAGTTTCCTTGAAGAAGTTATGAGCTTTATATAGGATCAGGGGAAAAACATATTCTTGTCTTCATTCTACTGATAAGCAATAAGTCACTTTATTTATTTTTTAAAAAATTTTATTGAATTTTGGGGGCAACATTAGTTCATAAAATTATATAGGTTTCAGGTGTACAATTCTATAATAAATCATCTGTATATTGTATTGTGTGTTCACCACCCCCAAGTCAGGTCTCCTTCCATCACCATTTTTCTACCCTTTACCCTCTTCTACCTCCCTCTATACCCATTTCCCTCTAGTAATCATCATACTGTTGTTATCTGTGTCTATGAGTTTTTTGTGTTTTTGTTTGTGTGTGTGTGTGTGTGTGCTTAATTCCTTCATTTTTTTTCACCCCAATGCCCCTTCTCTCTGAGAGCTGTCAGTTTGTTCTCTGTATCTGAGTCTATTTCTATTTTGTTTGTTAGTTTATTTTTTCCATTAAATTCCACATATAAGTGAAATCCTATGGTACTTGTCTTTCTCTGACTGGCTAGTTTCTTGGTGGTCTCTTTAGGGTTCTCTCTCTACAGTATAATGTCATCTGCAAGTCACTTTTATTTTAACATTGACTTTTATCAAAGAAAAGATTGCCTCCTGAGTTGGGGGCACTGAACCAAAGACATTAAGAAAAGACTGTTCCACAAAGAACAGCTGTGGGGCTCTGACCCTCTCAGCCCTGGTCGTTGGAGCTCCCATCTCAGCCTGGGCCACACTGTGTCTGGAGGAATAAGGGACGGCTCAGTCCATGGACTCTGTGTCTCTCCGTCCCCAACGTGGAGAGGAGCACCGAGCCAAACCTGCTTTACGGTGTATCCACGAGCTGCTGCCCAAGCTGGGTTTTGGCCCAAATGGTCGTATATTTAGACAGAAGCTAGATCGTCGCTCCAGAATCTCCATGAACACTTTTCTGCAAGAAAGAATGCTTGGTTTGAAAATAGTGGCGATATTTCTTTCCATTTGTATTTGTAAGATAAAGGGCTATGAATGTGTTAAAAGAATATCTCCTGATCTCCCAAGAAGGCAATGAGGAGTTTAAAGGGGAAAAGTCAGTATAGAAGGGAAGGTACCGCTAATGCTTCTGAGAAAAACTGTATTTGTGTTTTTCTGCCTGGGGCTGGTATTGACATGCTGCTTCTAAAGGAGAAAAAGTGTGAAAGGGAATGAGGTGTGGCCCCTCAGTGAGGAAAGCGCCAGGTGTTCCTTTCTCTAAGGGCCAATAGCGCATCTTCCTGAAAGGGACCAACTTAATGTAAGGATTGTGCTTTAAAATTTTTTAAAATATATTTTTAGAGAGGAAGAGAGAAAGAGAGAGAGATAGAAACATCAATGATGAGAAAGAATCATTGATCGGCTGCCTCCTGCATGCCCCCTACTGGGGTCAAGCCGACAAGCCAGGCATATGCTCTGACCAGAAATTGAACCATGACCTTCTGGTTCATAGGTCAACGTTTAACCACTGAGCCACGCCAGCCGGGCAGGATTGATCGTTAGGGGAAGGTTTTACTGTGAATGTCTTAGTTCCCCACCTATGTGATTTTGAATGTATTCTCGAAAGGATGGTACTCAAAGCCGCTTAGGAATCAACTGTTTTGAGTGCGATGATTAATACATTAAATCTCTGGTACTGCTCGTTCTTTCTAGAAGTGTCAGTCATTGTGCATCAATGTGACGGACCAGCTGATGGAAACCCTCTTGCTGAGAGTGGACTTTCTTCGGGGAGCAGTGGGAGGGCTGGGGGGCTGGCAAGCAGGAGGAAATTAGCTCGGCTGCCTGCATGTGCTCCCTGTGCCACCCAGCACACCCCTCCAGTGCGTCTTGGCACATAGAGTGGCAGCTGCCAGCACTTGTCGGTAGGGACGGCTTTGTCTGCCCGGGCCTGGGGTTGCATTTGTACAGATCCAGCCACCCAGCCTGATCCTTCTGACCAAGACCAGTGGGCAGTCTGCTGCGTTCAGGGCTGCACAGTTAGTTGGTGGCCATAACAGTGACGCAGCTGGCTCACACTGGAGATTGCTCTGTGCCTGTGTGTTGGCATAGCGGTTTACTCTACTGATAAAACGAAAGGAGATCAGGAATGTCGAGCTTGAGGGAGCTGGAGTTCTCTGCTGGCCCCCTGTATGAGGCTTTAGGGTGCTAGTCCCTTTGTAAACTGGAGAGAAATGTATGGACTGGGCCCTTCACACCAGAACACATTCCTTCTGGTCTGTGCTTCTCACCAGCAGCGCCCTGGGACTGCTGGGAGTAAGATGACCCAAACAATCCGTTTCTTTTGATGGCTAGAGATGCTGCATGACAGCTGGAAGCTCTGTGATTGGCATTCATTTCTGGGCTAGTTGATGGAAGCTCATCTGCTTCCATATATTCCTTTATCAGAATTAAGGCATTTCTGCCAGGTGGGGTCTCCTTTTTAATGTAAATTCCCATGGACCCTCTAGTAACCATTAACAGACATCGACGAAACCCTTTGGGAAGCACCCCCTTCCCAACCCGGTACTGCCAATAGTACTAAGGGGTGGCTGGAACCCCAACACAGCATAAAAACCCTGGACATTCAGAGGGAGAGGGTTACCCAGGAGCTCAGTGAGTCAAGAAAATACATGGGGAACAGAAGGTTCCAGAAGGCCAACTTGGTGATGCTAACAATAGGCTTTTTATTCCAATGTGGTACCATTGTTCCCAGCAGGACCTGACTACATGAGTTTTACTCTAGCTACAGGTGAGCCAATGACCACATGCACTGATCTATCCATTTCACAAGGAATTCAGCATTTCTTATCCCTTAAAACAATAAAACTGCATCCCATGATGCATTGCTTTATTCAAAGTCTTCCTTGGTACTGATTCCGATGAAGTTGCCTGATTTATCTCTGTTGCTATGGGGATTTAGACTTGGGGAGTGGGATCCTGGTTTATCTTCCTGGACTTAGGTTGGCTCAAGCTCCAATATTCAGAGTTAAGATTTGGGAGACGGTCTAACCATTGATTTCTCCAGAGAGAAAGGGCGAGGAAAAGATCCTCTCTCAGTTGCCAACTCTAAGAAGTGAGATGATCCCTGTGTGTTTCCATGGCTGGTGGGTGTGTAACAGGCCCAGGAAGATGGTGTGGGCAGGTGAGGGTTGCCTTCCTCCCTTAGAAGTTTTTCATGACACAGGAGCTGGGTCCCAAACAAGGAGATTCGGTGACCAGCGTGAGGAATCTTCCCCCATTTGGAATAAATGTTCTGAAAAGCTCTGAAGCAAAGCATGCAAATGAAGCCCTGGCCCCGCCCCTGGGCCGTTGCTGTCTGCCATTCCAGGAAGTGTGTGTCAATCAAAGCTTGACAGGGGAGATAGAGCATTTTATTTTGGAAGCCAGAAGTTTGAGAACAATGACTGGAATTTCCTCTTTCTGTCCGGCAAGGGCTGTTTGTCGCTGGGGAGATAAAAGTCCAGGGGTAGGGAATAAAGGTTATCGGGAACTGGGCCACACAGGGCCTTGGGGAGGGGGGCGCCCGGAGGAGGGGTTAGGGAGGAAATCTATTTCAATGCCTGTCATTAAGTTTCCATTAAAAGAACATTCAGTTAGGAATTCAAAAATAATTTAATCTCCCCAGCCAGATGCACCCAGCTGGACTCCTTGGAGCTGAGCCCTGCGGAGGGAGATTTGCACTGGGGCTCAGGGTAGGAACTGGGGTGGGCCCCTTCTGCTTCTCCACCCAAGACAGCCTTGACCGCTCTGGATGTTCTAGAAGACATGTGTGTCTTTCAGGCAGGGAGACACCCAAGACGTGTGACAGTAGAAGCAACTGGCTGTAGGGGCTACTTAGAGTTCCTACTAGGGACTAGGCTCTGTTTTAAGGAGTTTGAATACATGATTTCAGTTGATTTCCCCAGAAGTCCTATGAGGTACTAGCATTACACCTATAGGGTGTCCCAAAATTCATGCAAGAAGTAATTTTGATAGAAAACACAGGTTTATAATTAAAAATTGTAAATTTTTTATTGATTCATAAAGTATACAGTATAGGGTTATGTATGGAATAGCACATCGGGTAAATGGCCTCCACAGCTTTGCTGGCACATATGCAAAGCCGTGGTCTTCATTGGTCTTCATTGTCCCTGCTCCTGGGCCATAATTGGTACTTGGTAATGCTTATCAAATTGAAGGGATTGAAATCAAAGGGCAACAGATATTAGAATATGATTCAATAAACCAAGTAAAATTAGGCTTTTGTTGTTGTTGTTAATGCTCATGCAAAATTCAAATCTTGCGTGAATTTTGGGACACCCTGCATTTTGGACTTGAAGCAGCTCAGGTAAGGAACTTGTCCAAAGTCACTAGCTAGCAAGTGACAGGGCGGGACTCGAACCCAGATCTATCTGTCTTGAAAGCCCATGAGTTTAAAATCACTCAAATTTACATCCTAACATGGATCACCCGTGAGAGCACTCTCGGAGAGTCAGACATGTTCCTGGAAGCCATGGTTAGTTGGTACATGTTCCTGGTTCTGTCTCTCACTGTGGGAGAACCCTTTCATTGCTCAGCTCGGGGAAGGCCCTGGCCAGTGCTCAGCAAACACCTCTGGACTTCCATGTTCTAGAAAGAGGCAGGGCTGTGCCAGGGCCCCCAGATAATCTCCCCTTTTGGCATCTGGAAGTAAACGGGTGTCTCAAAGCTTTGCCTAGCTTGTTGGTGTAAACTATCCTCCTACATCTACATATATGCTAATATATTCTAATTATATAGGTGTTGTTTTATAACTAGAGACATATGATTTCCATTTGACAGATGGG